GATATTATATGAATGCCAAGAAAAAATGGAAATTTTGAAAAATAAAAAAAAAAAATTTTTTAATAAGCTTCCTGCTGCTGCTTTGAAATCTCCAAAAATAAGATATGAATATTTCTTTCTAATTATATAAATTTAAAGCATTTAATTATCCCATTACTACACTGTTTACATTCACCAATAAAATGTTATTGTTATTTTCTCCTCCGTGTTGCTGTTTTTGGCAAAAAATAAAAAAAATAAAAAAAGATAAAAAAAATTTTATTTTTATTTTTCTTCCACTTCTTCTGACGATCTTAAAAAAATAAATTTGGGAAACAAGGTATAAAAAAAGTCTTGCCCAGTGGGTGAGTGTAGTGTAATACATTTTTCTACATTACTTGACCTAAGAGACCTAGAAAGAAAATAGCTTTTATATTATTATTTCAACAGCTAATCATGGAACAGGCAACAGAACAGTAAAAACGAAAACAAAAAAATGATGCCTTGTCCACGAACCTGTTGCAACTCCTCTTGAAGTCTGTTCAGATTGGCGGTCTTCTCTAGTAACTGGTGCTCCTGTTGTTCTTGCGTAAATTGCATGTCTTTCTGCTGCCTCTCCAGTGCTGCTTCCTTCTCTTTCACCAGACTCTCCATCTTAGAGACCTGTTCCTGTAGTTCAATATTTCTCTGGTTGTTTAGCTGCATTTGTTCTTGTATCTGTTGACTGCCGCTGCTTGTTATACTTAAACTACTTTTTAATCTGTCACGAAAAATTGTTTATGTTTGAAAACAAATTATTTTTTTTTTTTTTTTTTCCCAGCTTTTTACATAGCTTGGTGAACTTTATGAGAAAAAAAAAACTTGAATTACAATTTTTGCTACAACTTAGCCAGTTTGCTACAATATGCCTTATTTGTGAAAAAAAGTATTGCTTTTAAATAATGATATAAAATCAATAAATATTAAATTTTTGAAAAAATTTTCTAGTTTCATAAAGCAATAATTCTCATAATAGAGTAATAAAAATAGCTGATCATAATAAAATAAATCATTCGGTTCAATAGATTAATATGATCCCAAGCTAAACAAAAAGCTCTCTATATTACTGTGCATCTCCAAACATTTGTAAAATGTAACACTACAATTCAACTAAGGATATGGTGGTATAAAGGCAGTGTATGAAAGTTTTGCAACAACATTTGAAACATTAAATCTTCATCTAAGATTTGCTTATGATCTTTAGTGATAACTTTATCTGCCCATCCTTGCTACTGTAAAGTAAAATATTTTGACCTATTTATTTTCTTTTTTCTATTCATATTTATTGTATCTAAAATACTTACAGTTCTAACTCTTCAGTCTTTGGAGCATTTGATAGTAAATTCTTTGTTTCCTCTAGTTCATTACCGACTCTAAAAAAAGAAAAAAATCGAACTATGAATTTTACAATTCCTTGTTGGCTTCATTAGGTGCTGATTATAAACAAGTTACCTTGCATATTTATATGGTTATTATTTGTTAGAATTAAACCCTAATGTACTGTATATATTACACAAGTGTTAATCATAATGTCCTGTATTTTTACGTTTTTTTTATAAAAACCTATTTGAATGTACAGTACAGTATGTAATAAATAAAAGGAAAAAATCAAGGGGTAGGTAATTTTTTACTTAATTTGTGTTTGTTTTTTTTTTGGATGTTCTGTGTTGTTTTTCTTGAGATTTTAATGTTTTATGTGTACTGGGCCCTCTGGGAGAACAGTAACTTCTTACTGAAGAGGTAACCCAGTATAAAGAATAAATAAATAAATAAATAAATAAATTAAAATCCCCTTATTATGCAATTTAATTAAACTACATTTCATCATGTTATTTTCATGTCTTTATTTATTTTCCACTTTCTTTACAATGATTTCCAGATGTATGTCTAACATACCAGTCGTGCAGCCTGTAAATAAAAAATTACATGTTACTGTTAGCAAGATATGATATTAGTAATCTAAAAACTAAAATCAAGAATAAAACCATATATACTTTTCAAATTTAGACTCAAGTTCCTCTAACTGATTCTTTAGAATATTCTTCTCTGATTCACTCTCTTGGGTCAAATTATCCATAAGCATCTGCACAGAGACTAATTCTTTTTTCAAAACGACGACATCATCAGCGCCGGGTCTAATGAGGAATAAAGTAAAAATAAATTTAGAAAATCTTAGAGGTTCTACCAAATATAAAAAAAAGAAAAAGGCAAATTAATCAAGCTTATCACATTATAATGTTTAAATTTTATCTTTTTAATCATATATTTTCATGTTTTATATATTTTATTGTTTTGTTGTTGGCCAGGGGATGACCAATAATAATAATAATAATAATAATAATAATAATAATACCAATAAAATAATAAATATTAATATTAATAATAATAATATAACATTAATAGAACTTAATAGTCTATCCTAATATCTTAATATTTATTATCAATTTAGCACATTTCATTAATTCAAAAACTATCAAATAACACAAAATATACCTCTGAAGAAGCTGCGACTCGACAGCTCGCAGCTGAGCACGAGTATCTACAACTTCAATCTAGTATGAGAAGAAGCAAATGTAGTTTGTTAATCCAGCTTTGCAGGGAGTTAAGCTCAGATTCTATACAATCGCTCCACTGTCGCTACAGCGTTTCCACCGCAATCCTTGTACTGTGTAGCCATCCCCAACGCAGTCGGAAACGCTCCCAGATTCAACTGACCAATCAGTGTCGCCAAAGGAGTCGGAGATAGCGTGTAGCGATTTTTATAGAAACCAAGCTTTAAAAAATGGAACAAACAAAAAAAAAAAAAAAAAAAAAAAACAAACAAAACTTCATGTTGCCCTAACTCGACTGACTCAAAATCTAGACATTCTTATGATTTAATTTTTTTTTCTCCCACAAATTTACATTTTTACAGAGGGTGTGGCTCTCTGCGGGGTGGGTTTGAGAGAGGCTGTATCCCTCCGTACACAAGAAAAAAAAATAGAAAATTAAGACCTTCAGAATGCATTTAAAGGTGTTTAAATGTTGGCATTTTGTCTTCAAAGGAATAGTATTAAATTAGCTATCACAAAAATATTTCAGAGATATAGACTGTTCAAGGCTATGGTTGTTTCCTTTTTTGGGTCAACTGCCCGACGAGCTTTGGCCGGTGGGGTAGTGAGATTTGAGTTGTCTAATGGGGGGCTTAAGCGCCCCCACTGATTTACAGCACTTACCTCAGACTGTTTAAGCTTTTCCTCTAGGCCAATCCTGTGACCTCTCTCCTCATCCACTTGGGATTTCAGGCTGGCTGTCTCTCCAGCCTAGAGTATGAACAGAAAAAAATAGCATTCATTAATATATTATTGTCTAATCAGTCAGATACATAGGGAGCTATTATTATTACAGGTCTACCTCCAAATAATTACTACTTTTGGGACCAGGGTTCCATGGTCTTTAGCAGCTTTGGTCTCAATTAAAATAATAATAAACTTTCAATTAGAATAATAATAAAATATATTTGTAATATGGGACCGGTAAAAGCGGTCTTTAACAGGAGGTTGGTCTTTAATTGGAGGGGTCTTTAGGGAGACCTGTATTATAGTTTTATAGCAATAATAATGTTACATTGGTATAAAGACAGTTAAATGGATATAGTAGATATGTTGGTAAGAAGTGAGGTAAATAGATACAGACTTATATTTATCATTAAAAACTTTGTAATTGTAACCTACCAACAAAGCAGTTTTTTGCTCAACATTGTCTTTCTGTTGTTTGAGTGAACTTGCATTTTCCATGGACTCAGCTAACTGCTTTCGCAACAAAAGGACTTCAGATGTTACTGAAAAAAAAAAAAAATACAGCTCCATTATAAATTAATTGCTCAATTGGGGATTAAAAAAAACTCAGTGGTTTAATGTGCTAATGGAAATAATCAAAATGGGGGGGGGGGTCACTCAAATTTATGTATATTTCCGTTAGTTTCTCTTGACATTTAAATCAATTGAGGTTTAATAAAGAACTCATCAGTGTGACAAAAACAGATGACATTTAGCCAATTCTTTTAATAACAACATTTTTATTTAGGGTATGGTATTAGGTAGGCTTCTGTTTATAAAGGATTTGCACAAACATTTTGAAAAGTCATGACAATCTCACACAACAAAATGCAAATTCTCTAAGGGGGTCACCATTCACAACCACTCTAATGCATTCCTGGGCCCCTCCCTAGGCGACAAAAGCAAAGCAACAGGTTACACATTTATTCTGCTGCAGGTGGCTAGGTACCTAGAAATTGATTCCAAGATAGGGCCTCCAAGCAGCCATCAAAGCCTTTATTTTGAGTGTATTTTTAAAAAATATTATTCTGACTCCATATATCTGTACAAGACTATCAAATTTCAGTTGACAAAACATATGACATGTCATGATGACATCATACCACGACCATATATAGGCACATCATCAACAACAAACCATGCTTAGTTTAAGGAGTAGGATTAGTTAAGTGTCATTATATTTGTATTCTTATTTATGTTAAGCGCTTAGAGGTCTCTATGACATGGGCTCTATAAGTCGACCATTATTATTATTATTACATACAAAAAAAAACAATATTTACTTACACAAAGCTGAATTTGATTCATCTTTCTGTGATCCATTGCTATCGCCCTTTAAACATCAAAGAAACCATAAAAGTTAATCAGGATTTTTCTTTTTTTTAAATTAATATTTGTCAATATTATATCTACCATATCAATGTTTTTACTATAAAATACTTTCACAATAATACTTAGGTTTGAAAAATATAATTTTGATGGGTATATCTGAAACCAGGATGAATATGGATATAGAAAAAAATAAGATTTTAAAACAAAATAATCATATAATTTTTACTATAGAGACATATTGTTGATCAATTACTTTTAAATAAAAGCATATTATATATTCAGTCTTGACTTGATGGCAAACCAACAAACTACATATTTTACAAACTTGATTTGTAAAAGCCTAATATGCAACTATATAGCGCATGTGTTTGCTTTGCTAAATCCAGAGCTCAAATTAACTAACAACTTGTTATGACGCATAGGCATGCAATATGTGTCGCTACGACTGTCGACCAACAAAATCTATCTCTGCTCTTTGAAAGTGTAAACAATGCAACTCTGTAAACCTATGCTGATTGTCAGCAGCAATCCAGCATGAGAGGATTATCATTAAAAAACGGTCTGCTGCGAGTGCCTCGTCGTGTTGTGTTCCCCAAGGGATCATCTCAACCAACTACCTTAACGCGCAGTGTATGCCTGGATTTAGACACTAATGTTGCAGCATATCAAGCCTAGGTAAATGTGGGAAAACAGTGTACAACCATCAGCCGTTAAATCTACGCTTTAGAAGAATTTTTATTTTTATTTTTTATATGTTGTATAACTGATTTTTCTGAGACACAAAAGGTATACTTGACAAAAAAAACTCGGAAGCAGTTAATGAGATACAGATTTTGAATTGTTGATAAACTGGAGGGAGGGGGAAAGGTGGAAAAATGGGTGGTTACCCCCTTTTCACTGTTCTTTAAATATTGAAAAATCTGTATCTCATATTAAAGTGCTTCTGAGTTTTTCGTCAAATATGCTTTTTGTGTCTTATAAAAATTAGTATAACATATAATAAAAAAAATAAAAAAATTTCCTCTGTAGTCTGGCTTTAAATAATATAATAATGCAATAGAATACAAAACAGATTATCCAATTTTTGTGTCTATGCCCCCTAGGGGGCAAATAAGACACTATGTTATGATCTGGCAATTAAAGATGGCGGAAAAAGTAAATCTGGTGGAGGTCAGGTGCATGATGGGTAATGTGGGTCATGTGACATCTTAAGTACTGTACAAAAACCATAAAAAAAAAAAATACACAACCACACATTTCCTGATAACCGAATCCCATGTGGATACTTCATTAATAAACATCAGTTTAAGGCATTATAGGGCATGTAGACACACGCCCCTGCCGGGAGCTTATTTGTATTAATGTGCATGCAGGAAATAATAAAATATGTAATGCATGCTTAATAATGACGACAACTGGTATTAATATACTTACCAACCTCCCTTGGCTTAATTTCTCTACTTCTTTTTTAAGTTCATCTGCATACCATTTTTCCTCCTGATATGATTGGATGGTTAAAATGAATAAATGCATGATAACATGATTATTTAAAAGTACTGTATGATAATGAGAAATTAAAAAATTCTATTAGATGATAACTGTGATTATCATATTATGATTATCATTATGGGAGAATATGGATCATGTATATATGTACTATGTATTGTATCTGTATCTGTATGGCTTACTGCACAGAACCTCACATCTGAGTACTGTATATTAGTGCAGGTGCAGAGTTTTATCAAGACATTGTGGACCATCCATAAATTTCTCCAAGTTTGATTTTAGATTTATGATTTTAAATTTATTAAATTATTATTATTATTATTATTATTATTATTATATTAATATTATTATTATTTTGTAGTTTTTTTCAATTCAGTGCACTGTTAGTAATTGGCTTATATACAGTATAATCAAATATATGTTAATTTCAATGTGAATTTCAATGCAAATGTTTGATGTGCGAATTGTTATTTGCACATCTCACATTTGCTTTATATGCAACAGGATAGCATTTGTTTACATTGTTACAAATGGCAAGATGATGAAGAAAAAAGAGAATCTTTTCTTGACCTGACAAAAAGGGAAAAGATTAAGTATTTACAATGACAGATTTGAAAGACTGAAGTGATGTAGTAGTATTGTGCTGATGGTCAATACATAGTACATATATTTATACTGTATTTGACTTTATAAAAATCTGCAATCATTAACACACTTAATAATAGTTGATATTTTGATGCAATGAAATAATAAAATCAATTGGATTTAGATTTTAATTATATTTTATAGTCAAGAAACAGTCTTGTTTTTACCTGTAATGTAACTCTAAGATCATCAACTTCTTGCCTAAGTGCAAGAACATCTCCGCCACTGAAAAAAGGGAAAAAAACTCAATATGTGTAAAACAATATTATATAATTCAAATAAAAATCTAAAATAATATATTTAGCTTTAAAATAAAACATTATTTCCTTTGTTGGACAAAATCATTACATTTTAATCTTTTCAAAAGCTGTTTTTATTTATCATACTGTACTAAATATTAATTCTTTAGGTAATAAATTAGGTGGGTCCTAAAAATTCACTGTTCCCTGCTAAAACATATGTATTGTATTCATATGTAATGTATAAACATGCTTACCGATTCTGCTAAACGGCAGGATTGAGCAGAAAGAAAAGAGAAAAAACATCATCTTAGAAATTATCATGGTCAATATTATTATTAAATTATAAGTTCCACCAACTTGAACTTTAATACCACTAAATTTTATGATGACCACCCCTTGATCATCATTTCAACCACCTTTTGATCACAATCAACACCAACTTATCATAATCAACACCAACATGATCATAATCACCACCAAGTAATCATCAACATCACCAACTTGATCATACTGTAATTCACTTCAACATGATCAAAATTACCACCAACTTGGTCATAATCATCACCAACATGATCATAATCACCACCAACTTCGTTAACACCAGCATTATGATCAATAATCACCACTACCTTGATCATCATTATCAGCTTTTGATCACAATCAATACCAACATTATTGTATCAATCAACTTGATCATCAACACCAACATGATCATAACCATGACCGCATATTCACCATAACTTTGATCGTAATCATCACCAATTTGATCAACAACACCAACTTTATCATAATCCACTTCTACATGATCATAATTACCAACAACTTGATCATAATCACCCCCAACTTGATCATAATCATCACCAACTTCATCATAATCACCACCAACTTGATCATAATCGCCACCAACTTGATTATAACCAACCTGAACAAGGACCAATTATTATTGCCACCAACTTGATCATAATCACACTAACTTGATCATAACCATCATCAGACCTGCCAACTCACCCGATCCTGTCGGGTGTCACCCGATATTTAAACAAATCTCCAGTTCTCCCCATCGAATGTAATTTTCACCCGATTTTCACAGGCCACCCCTTTCTCCCCAAAAATACTCCGATTTAGCATGAGGCAAAAGTCCCTGTTAGCAGAGATGGTACATAGTGAGCTGTCTGATAGTTGAGAGTGACCTGTCAGATGGTCCAGAGGGAGCTGTTAGCAGCTCCATAAACTTAACTTTAATTGGTTTTAAGAATGTCCATTGGGAGTTAACAAGAGAGTCCTGGCCAGCAAACATATAGCCATTGGAATGTAAACAAGAAACCCATTACAATCACTCACTTCATCTCATGGGTTTCAGTGGCAATAAATAATTTAAGAACCCATCGCTATTCAACAAACTAGCAGGATTTATAACCCGGGTTTTCCCCAAAAGCCAGGTGCCATGGACTAGTTCTGTTAACGGCCAAAAATGCAGCATGGGCATCATTTGATTGATTTGATCGTTATTATTCAATGTATGTTTGGTGTCTTGCATCATCTTTTGGTTAATTCTGGAAACCTCCAAATTTTTTGGTAAATCTCCAGAATTTTTTAAGATTCTTAAATAAATCTCAGGATTTTTATGACCCAAGGGTTGGCAGGTCTGCATCATTTTCTTGATCGCAATCACCACCAACATTGTCTACCAAACAAGAGGCCTACCTCTGGTACATTATTCAGTTTGTCTTTGTTAGCAGCAGGCAGGGAACCACTAGCAACACCATGAACATTCTCCCAGTGTAATTGTAAATCTTCAGCAGAATTTAATGAGGTCATGCACTGGGGGCAGATAAACCCCTAAAGTAGCAAAAAAAAAAAAAAAACTAAAATACAATAATCAAATTATTAAAAAGAAAAGACATGTTTGCAGAAGCTACTGTGTTGTCCAAAGAATTCTGTCAAGCCAGTTTTCATTTGGATTTAAACCAGCACCATCAGTATATTGTCAATGGATCCCGCCAATGACGGCCATTTCTCTTCCTGGGAAAAATGCCTACTTCAATAGCAACAGTAATCTATTCGGTGTTTAACTTATATACTCGCGTATAAGGCGACCTCGAGTTTAAGATGATTTTTGGACAATTTTTGTACGTCATGCGTAAAAGACCCGGTTTCATTATTGGTATTCATATTTTTTGCTACTTTTTATGATCTTTTACTGTATCTAGCTAGGGAATAACGGAGCCAAATGTAGGACCAATCTTTACAATGTACCATCTTATGGGCTTCTAAATGTTCATCGAAATCATATTTCCACATGTTTACAATTATGTTCATTCACACTCTAACAGTTTGTAACTTCATTTAAGGAGTAAATTCGCGTGTTACAAACAATCCATGCACAAGACGAACATTAAAAATTCAAAAGTTGTATGTGTTGTGCATAGACGACCCTCTCTTTATAGATCGTAATTTGCTAATTTAAGCCTTGTGTTCTATGCGAGAACATACGTTACTTTTCTTACTATTGTAGAATTTTTAAGGATGCTCTATATTAATGTTTGATTTAGTGTTATATTGTTATAATATTGTGCATTTCCTTAGTTGCAAGGAGATGCAAACGTTATTACGAAAAAGATTATAATGTGTAGTATATGATTCTATTGAGAAAAACATCAGGGAAGTATATAATATACACAGTAATAAAAGAGAGATCAAAATATGAAAAGAAAATTAACACTCAACAGTAAAATAAGGATTAGTTACAATAAGCAGAGCAAGTTATGACTTTTTTTTTATTAAAGTAATCTTTCATATATCCAATAAAAAAAGAACAATTTAAAAAAATGCAAAATGTTGCTATTTCTACTGAACACTTCAAAATGAATTTAAGTAAAAAACATGCAATTAAGACACCCTTTTTTGAAAAGTGCTAGAATAGGAAATTCTGAGTAAAAATTAAATAATACATCTTTAAAAGAAGATGAATGTGTGTGTTGCTATAGAGACTGTATCAAGAAATAAACACATGCAAAATGTTAAATCTGTTTCATCTACCTAATGAATAGTAATAATAATTGACCAAAAAGTATTAAAGAAAGCCAATTTCTTTTTGTTCCAATACCGTACTCTCGCGAATAAGCGCCCCGTTTGAATAAGCACCCCATTTGAATAACCGGCCCTCCTAACATGAAAATTTCCTTAAGCGCCCAGTTTGAATAAGCACCCCTTCTAATTTGAATAAGTGCCCCCTTAATAATTTCATAAGATTTTTATTTTTAGCAAGTCAATAATCTAATCAATTCTGGGACTGTGGTTTTGGCATGATTTGAGCTGCAGTGTGGAATCAAATTCTTATTAGGTCAAATATAAAATTGCATTAGCACATTCTCATCTCAGTTTTCGAGAAAAAAATACAATGATCCTGCCATCCTACTCATCTCAATTGGCCGATGGCCAACAAGCTAACCACTACCCCCCACCACTAATTGCATCTGCCACTTTGCTGTTATGTAAATATTCACAGCATTCTTGTCATGAGCCATGTTCTCTGGACGATTATCTTTTTCACCTATCCACTATTCGTAATGTCCTTATATAATCTTTTTCATTCAAAAAGTGCCTTTAGAATTTAATAAGTTCCCATAAGAACCCCTCAATTTTCGTCTATTTCCATAAGCGTTTGTACAAACAAAAACAAAAAAAAGGGGGAAAATTTAACAAACAAAATAAATAACAATCGACTGTAAATAATATTACAAAATTAAAGAAAGGTAGAAAAATAACATATGAAATTAGATGAGATCACATTTCACATCGCATTTCACATCGCATTTCATACTCAGAAATATTTACAGGTCAACTGTAAAAGTAAATGGTTAAAATAACTAAACCTACAAAATATAAAATCTAAAGATGAAAAAGTCTTACAACAAAAAGATAATAACAAGGTAGACCTACTAAACTTAAGGAATACAGACTACGATGTAGAGTCCACTTGTGGTAAAAAAAAAAAAAATTAAATAAATAAATAAAAAATAAATAAAAATTAACATTACACAATTTGATAAGCAAAGATACATTTACAGTAAACTACTGTTGTGAATTTTTTAGTTGTGAGCGTTTCTCCCAAGCATTCATGATGTATTTTTTACAGAAATTATCAAAAATAGAGGTAGATTCATCACAAATAAAAACTAAAATAAAAATTGTATGTATGCCACATTTTAAATTCAATACTTAAAATATCCCAAACATGCAGACAATCTAAAAGATAATACTATAGTAAATAATAACAGTATTTATCATTATTTTCAATATTATTATTACTAATACTAATTATAACAATAATGTCACCTTATTTTATCCCAAACATGCAAAGACTAATTGTCACATTCCAATTAGCCTGCAAGCACTGATTGGATTTATTCAGACGAAAAAGGTACAAAGCAAAAGGCAAAGACAGTGACATGACAATGACAGTTGGTTAAAATGGCATGAAAAAGCCCTGCGCTGATCCCTGGGAAAACCTAGGCATAAAAGAACACCCCCGGTTCCTTAATTTCAAGACTTGTCACCAACTTCATATAATATAAATTGGAACGTAGAATGTTGGAAAAACACATTTAATAACCCTCCAAAATATAGCGCCCTCACCTTGCAAATATATGACAAGAAATGCAATCTATACAGTAGATGCTCAATGATACAAAAAAAGTAAAGAAACATGTGTCTTAAGCTGTATCCACATTATCATGTGACAAAATTGTGTGATGTGCCCATAAATGGGCCTAATGATGACAATGCTCTGTTTACACCTTCAAATTTTAAGTGACAAAAAACTCTGATTGCCCATATTTGGGTGTACAAGATATCATTGATGATATATATGGGCACGTTAATACACAAGTTTGTCACATTAAATCTGAACGTGTGCACAGACCTTTTAAAGCATATTTGTCACATAAAATTTCATAGTGTGAACACAGGTTTAAACATTGAAAAAATAAAAACATTCAAGCAGAAAATTAAAATAGCAATGCAGTAATTATTATAAATCAAACTCTAAAATGTTTAAAAAATGGAACACACCTCAGTTGCCTTGGGTTATCAAATAAATTTAAAAAAAAGAAAAGCAAATTATTTATCAATTATATATTTATTATTATATAATTGATTCAAAATTATTAATTACAAAAACAACCGTGCTGACAATTTAAAACAACAATTAGTAATATAATTAATGAGTCAGTACTCGTGTCTAGACTAAGGAGTACATATTCATCCAGATGCATACTAAAGGAGAATATAAACATTCGTTGATGTCTAATACTGATTGGCTGAAATGTAGCGTAATTCCTTCTGTTTCAAGATGACAAGATTACAGTGAGGTTGAGTAGCTGAAAATTAAAATGCTTGCTATTCAACCCAAAGATGAACTTCTTTTTTAACAAACTCAACACTAATCATAATGTTTTATCAAATAAATAAAATTATATTTTCGGGTTGTTAGCACCCTAAACTTCTGCGAAGAATAGTGATATCGCGATGGAATCTCGAAGAGGAGATTAATTATTACCTCAAGAATTTACCTTTATCAACAATATAATTTTTTTTCCTCACCACCACTTTTGCATAGAGACAATAGGTATATGTGTTATATAAATTCCACTATATACTGTACATCCATACACACACATACAATCATACGTTAAAACTAAATTTTATTTCAGCCAACCAATAGTAGATATTGACATTAACATACATACAAAAAGGCACTTTACAAAAACTATAAAAAAAAATGTTAGTTTCTTCTACTACTAAAATAATTAATGTTAACTCATATTATTAAAATTTTTTAACATAAAAACATTAATTATAAAAAAAAATTTTAATTCTTGATTTCAAAGTGTATTTTCAGTTAGTTTAAACTAATTTTCAAACACAACTGTGAAAGTGATGTAATAGGTAGTAGGTTTTAGGTCAATCAGGAATTAAAATCAATTTCCTTTGTTTTAAAGTCACTTGTGCTGTTTGGCAAGGCATTTCATGTTTGTCTTGTTTGTTGTTTAATTTATGCTTTTATTTCTTCACCAGTAGTTATTTATGGGGATGAGATCAGGTGAGATATGGGCAGTTTGAGGATTTCAAGCTCCAATGAAACTTTCTGGAGTGTCTTTAAAAACCTTACAACAAAATGTGTTATTCATTAGCCCAGAATATGTGCATTAAAAAAAAATTGATGTTATGTTTCAATACACTGTTGTTTTGTCAGAACTTCGCAAGAAATATCCACTAAGCAATATTAAGTACAAAACTGGGTGAAGAAAAATAGGGTGAAGTGCCATGCTAAAATAGGAGGGGGGGGGCGGGGAGCGGGGGGGGGGGGGGGGGGGGTGAGGGAGTGGATGGGGTTGCAAAGGTGAAGTGAACTGTGAGGGACTTGATTAAGTGAGGGGAAGCTAGGGGTTGCAAAGGTGAAGTGAACTGTGAGGGACTTGATTAAGTGAGGGGAAGCTAGCTTGCAAATACTGTATATATATATATATGCAGTGATATGGGGTGATTTTTATCTATACATGAGTGTGATTTTTGCTTCAAGCATTTTTAAGTGGAGGGACTATGAGCCCCGAGATTTCATAGGGGGAGGCATGCACCCAAAATCTCTAACCTAGATACACCACTGAAATTTGGCCAGTTAGAGTTTCAAACTACATCTCCTTATTTACAAACAAAAAAGCAGGCACACAAGACATTTAATGACATTAAGACTTTTATCAATCAAATGCTTGTCAGAGGTTAAAACAAAACAAAAAAAGATGCCATTTCAAGGCCAAAGTGCTGACCGACAAACAATCTACGAACACTGATAATACCTTGGGTTCTTCTCCGGCCCGGTTACTTAGGCCTAAGGGCGGAGAATTATGATCAGTCTGCCAGTGTTTCTCCAACTCTTCGGCTGAGCCCAGCGATATCATACATTGTGGGCAGATAAAACCCTGCGGGGATGGATTTCCATAATTTTAAAAATAAGATCATCAGTTTCCTCTCACACAATACAGTTAAACTTGCCTAAGTCAACTTTGCCTATTAAACTCGAATATACTTGCCTAAAGCTGCCTTGCAAAACTCGAATAATTTCTAAGTCAAACTTATTTTACATGCCAAATTGTTGTGTTTTCCATTATTTGACAATCTGTGTAAAAAAGGGCCGATTCGGACGAGTAAAATTTAACTGGGTACCACCAGCTGAGCGGTCGCGTGCGGCAATTAAATAATGGCCCTGGGTATAGAAAATTCGAAAAACATCTGGCCCAAAAACCCACCTTTTTTACTGGAAATTTCAATTACACCTTGCCTCAAGGCGTAATTAATCACCCGTAACAAGGCCCAGGTCACAAGTTGACCCTTCAGATTTGTTAACAACGCCGGGTCAGATTGCACTGGACAAAAAGAAGCTCGCGACCACGCTGCATGATTCTTCGCGTTGTTGCCCAAGCTTTCTTTCCACGCTGGTCGTTGTATTCGTCGAAAGGCTTGGTTTAGATCAAATCCGTCGTCGAGAAGCAATATAAAAGTTGTCATGATAGTTAGGTCGGCTGGGTTAATCATAATTCGGCGTCAATTTGTAAGGATAATTGCAAGGAAATGAGTAAAATTGTATAGAAAGTAAGCAGAAATACCGTAAATTTGTGTATGAAGTATTGAAATTGCCACGAAAACATTGCTAATTTGACACAGGGTCGTCACTCAGGTCACGAACTATTCAGAATTCTGACCTTGCAGAAGCTTGTAAAATACGTAACTTCCGTCAAATTAATGGGTAAATGGATTGTTATTTTACTCGTCCGAACGACCATCACATTTAGCCCTGAGGTTATTAGTAGATTACCTATGTAATTGAGTTTACGTCCGAATCCAACCTAAGTCAAATTTTATCCAAGTTGAACAATTTTTTAATGGCATTTTGGATCTGACTTAGACAAGTTCAACTGCAGTTACTAAAGCATTGCTAATTATAATGTCTATAACAAGGTACAGTACATTAAAGGAAGACCATACAATTTCTTTACATTTTATCATGCAACTCCTAAAAAAAAAAAAAAATAAATGATTAAAAATAATTCTATAGTTTTTCCTGTTGAAACAAACTTTTAGTGCTTATATTGTAACATTATAAGATGCACAGTTTTATATTTGTAATAAGAGCGAAATATAATATTAAAACATTACTTGTTGACATCAATTATTTTTTAAAGTGACTTTTTAAAAAGGATTTTAATATTGAAGTGCAGTCAAGTTTTTATCATTATATTTGTTTCTTCGTAAATTTGCACAAAAAAAAAGTAAATAAATCTACTGCAAATATACCTTTAATTGAACACAACAATACACACTTGATTTCTCTAGGTTAGGGATGAGCATAACATGCCAAATATTTTCGCAGACAATCTACAGTAAAACCTCTTATAGAAGCCCTGGGCTTTTTCTTTTTTGGCGAACTTCGGATATGGGCTCTTTTTCAAGATGCCAGGATTTCTAGACAATAATACCTTTATGTTAGCTTTCGAATAAAGGTATTATTGTCTGGAAATCCTGGCATACTTAGTTGAGGGTCTTAATTTGCAGGGTCTGATATTTCGAGTGGGTCTGATATCGCGTGGTCTTAGGTCTTAGCTTTCGTGGTCTGAGCTTTCAGGACACTCCTATTTTATAACTGTTATACTTTGTTTCTTTGAAATTCATGTACAGCATATGTACTGTAGGCTACTCTAAAAAATAAGTCCATGCTATCTTTGAAGGCTTCTTTTCAAGGCTAATTTTACAAACTAAAGAAGGGGGGGGGGGATTCAATTCAAGATTGGCTTTTTCTTGAGATTAGGCCCATTGGGCTTCTATTTGAGATTTTACGGTACATACAATATTGTAAATTCTTTTAATATAAAAATCATAATCCTTCAATTTTAGCAATTCAATAATTATCAAACATAATGTACTAGATAATCTTTAATTATATCTTAACCCTTTCCAGTCATATGGCGTTGCGACGACGCCATCTTCGACCATATTTTATAGCGAGGGGCGTCGTACGTACGCCCTGTATAGCTTTCATGATAATTATTTTATAGCTAGGCTGCCCTCTATAGGAATTTTGAGTGTGATGTAAGAGTATTTCTGTAAAGGGCCTCCTGTATTTATCCCAAATAAAATGCCTGCGCCCAGTAAAAACCCGACATTTAGTGTAGATGATGTAATTTCCCAGCTTTGGTACAGCCTCAGGCAATGGTAATAGGGCACACTGGAAAGGGTTAAATTAGAGCATCCTAGCTCTTAATCTCTGGCTTATAACACCTTATTATGTAGCAAGGCTATGGCTTCACTTACCGAGACATCATGACTCGATGTTTGTTGTTGAACTTGATGTGAAGGGGATCCTTGTTTTGACTGCAAGATAAAACAGGCATAAAATGAAGTCGTCTTCAATTTGCGACAAAAAAACAAAAATAAGAATACAGTACATTACGGAATTATTAAGTACAATAATTGTTTATGCACTGTGATTTTGAATGTATTTAAAAAAAAATTAAAACCCTGTATATTTAATTACAACACAAATCATTATCATTGGCGGTGCCAGGGTCTGAAATCTGGAGAGGAGAAACAAGTGGTGGGGGGGCAAGATAAGATTTTAGTGGGGTATACTGTATGTTTTCTCCTCCATAGCAGACTAGATACATTTAAGTTAAGACATAAGGGTTATTCCAGCTCAAATCAGCCAGAAATGTAGAAGTTCCCATGTAAGCCCCCTTTGGATTTTCCTGAAGAAAATTCTAAAAATAGCTTGATATGTCGAAAGAAAGAATCCAAAATTTCAGCTTCAATTTCCAAGGGGTTTTTAAGTTATGACATTTTGAAATTTAGGTACCATGCCCCCTTTTTCATGCCGGAAATGGCTCCTTTAACTTTATACTATTTTATGAAGCTTTCGGATATAATGAAGACAAAAAGTTGAAAATTGCTGTATAGACTGAAATTTGGCCCCTCTTTCAAGAAATACCATTGAAATTTTGGTAGCATATTTTATTAGAATGTTATGTGCACAAAATCCCCCACAGCATTGTGCAAAAATAGATTTTCGCTTTTTCGGAGGGCAGTATCTTATCATCCTTTAAAATGAAACATGTGATGAATATGCTCATACTACTACTAGAGCAATAATGAAGGTATGATGGGGTGTCAAACATGGTTGCAGGACCAATGACCCTAAAAATACCCCCTACTTTAACTGACCGGATGACCCCGCAGACACTCAATATTAATTATGAAATTTACACAAGTACACAGCTACACATATTATCATTGTAAGTAGAAAGTTTAAACTTTGTTTCTAAAACTCCTTCATTGTGAACTGATTTTTTTTTAAATAGACAGATTTCGGTGTATTATAAATACAGGGTCAAAGTTCACATCACAAATATGTATTTGTGACTTGATCATTATGATCATTGATCATTACGATTTTTATTTGGCTGTTTTTCTTGCTGTGGCTTGGAGTATGCCCATAAATAAAAATGTACAATCAAACATAATAGATGTGCATACATTATAAACTATTAAGCTGTCGGCACTTTGAAGCAAAGTATTTTGAATGGATCCACTGACCGTTCTACTAAAAATGTTAAAAAATAGGGCTGAGGTAAGAAAATTTATGATTATGGCACCTTCAACTGGGAATGGCACTCTCAGATTTTTAAATAATTTTGACTAGGCCCTATATAGGGAGTTTGCTTGTAGGTAGGAGTGTGGGAGGCCATCCTGATTTCTGGAAGACTCCCACGAGTTGCAGGAGATTAGGACTTTATGGGGCCAGTTTTCTGCGCAAATTTTAGTCGGTTTTCGAGATATACTCCATGCAATAAAGCTAGGTCTAGTAGTAGGCCTAGCCTAGTACAAGTATGCTACTTATTAGATAATAGCACAACGAACTTCTACTACTACTAGAATACTCAGTACTTGTGAAAAAATTGCGAAAAAAATCCCAAGTTGTTTTTGGGTGGATTCGAACCAATGATCTCCAGATCACTAGCCTGTGGTTTTTATTCCTAGGCCTAAGCCCTAGGCCTATGCACTGGAGGATGCGACCTGAGCCTAGCCCTAGCCTACGCTGAAGGAAGTTTTCGGCCGCGTGCCTAGCCAGGCCAAGGCCTACTAAGAGCCTAGGCAGGGCTAGCCCTACTAGGGCCTACACTACTGTGCCCCAGCCTAGCCTAGCTAGGGCCAGGCCTAGATAGAGCTAAAGCTAAAAATTCCTGCCTAGGGCCTAACATTTAATATATACGTAAAAATAAGGTATATGTTCTATAATTCTGAATTTTAGTGCATACATTCTCTACAGCATCTTTTGTCTTCTTTCGAAACCTGCGTAACGCTTCCATATTTACAAATTTCGATGGTAGTGGCTATCGGCACTGCCGCAGTGCCAAAAAAAGCTGCTGTTTTCTATCGGCACTGCCGCCGTGCCAAACAGCTGCCGTTTTCTATCGGCACTGCCGCAGTGCCAAAAAGTTGCTGTTTTCTATCGGAAAAGCTGCTGTTAATTAATCGAATCGATGTTTTTATCGATAGATGACCTTGGTGTAATTCATAATTTTATTTCACTCAAAACGTAATGAGACTGGTTAGGCAAAAACATGTCCCTGTACAAGATGTCTACCAGAGAAACAATGATAATGTTAATGGCAAAGACATAATAATAATAATAATAATAATAATAATAATAATAATAATAATAATAATAATAATAATAATAATAATAAATAATAATAAAAAGTAAATGATAATAATAATAATAATGAATGAAGATTAAAATATATAATGGAAGTGAATTCAGTTATTTATTAAAAGAAGATTTGGAGGGCTGGACTGTCATGAAGGTGTTGTATTAATGATGTTGTAAATATTTGCCTTTATTATATCAATAATTAATTCGGTCTAGCTTAGCCTATATTATTGTTAATATTATATTATATTTATTTAACATTTAGTTTAACTAATTATTTTAAATAATTAAATTATTAAATGTATACACTATATATTATATAGGCCTAGGCATATACATAAAACAAAAAATAAACAAACAATAATAATAATAATGATAATAATGATGATAATAATAGTAGGTCGATTTATAAGGTGCAAATAAACAAGGTCTCTAAGCGCCTTGAGTGGGGGGATGAACAGGCCCACATCCCCCACCCCCCTTCGCTGGATCCGCCACCCTGGTTTCATGTTCTATGCTTTTAGTAATTTTATCTCTTTTATTATATAATATTTTGAAACCGAATATAAAACAAAAAAGAAGCAAGTATAGAAAGGTAAGGTGAATGTAAAAAGAAGAACAAACTATCCTAAAAATAGTGAGTGAGAACGATCGAGAACCATAATATCGGATACAGTATTCGCACGCTAGATGTGCATTAGAAACCAATTGCATCCTGCTGCAGACCGGCAGCGAGACAAAGTGGGCCAGACGGTACAAAAAGCAGCCAGGCAGCACAAAATCATTACATGCAAAAGAATAGCCTGGGTGATACCATTTTCTCGAAGGTAATTTGAACTTTCAAAAAAAAAATTGTACCGTGTGGCTGAAGTCCGTCTCGCTGCCGGTCTGCAGCAGGATCTCTATCTTAGAAACCGCTATCGAAAACGTACCGTACGGTTCCGTGGAGTGCGAATAGCCGGTTTGTTTGTACTGTATTTGCTTTCTTCAGTAAACGTCTCAAATAGGGGCCTAGCTGGTATCGATGATACTTATGAGTGTTTATTTTATGATTAGTCAGTTCTTTATATTGACGTTAGCTTTCGAATAAAGGTACTTTTGTCTAGAAATCTTGGTATACTTAGTTGAGGGTCTTAATTTGTGGGGTCTGATATTTCGAGTGGGTCTGATATCTCGTGGTCTTAGCTAAAAAGCTCACGAAAGCTAAGACCTGGTCTTAGCTTCGTGGTCTGAGCTTTCGGGACACCCCTATTTTATAACTGTTTACTTTGTTTCTTTGAAATTCACGTACAGCATATGTACTGTAGACTACTCTCAAAAATAAGTCCATGCTATCTTCGAAGGCTTCTTTAAGGCTAATTTTACAAACTAAAGAAGGTGGGGTGGGGGGATTCAATTCAATATTGGCTTTTTCTTGAGATTAGGCCCATGGGCTTCTATTTGAGGTTTTACGGTACATACAATATTGTAAATTCTTTATAAAAATCATAATCCTTCAATTTTAGCAATTCAATGATTATCAAACATACGGTACTAGATAATCTTTAATTATATCTTAACCCTTCGCGACGACGCCACACGCGTCCATTTTGTTTCATAATCTTCCCGATGAGCACATGCAAAATGTGCTACGTACATTGCATATTAATTTCACACACTTAATTGGGTTTACAACTATATTTTATAATTAACATCACTTAGTATGGACAGCGTATACGAAGTCATATATAATCGAATATTTTCGTGCGTGCGTGCTCTCGTAAATTCCGTGCTCGCGTAAATGATTGAAATAAAAAATTAGAATTGTTTTTTCAATTATCGTTAATTCGTCACATTTTAATCAATGAAGACCCGACCTATTTTATTTAATGGTAATCTTTTCTTTGGTTTTAATTGTTTTTAATAGTTTAATAGTCTT